ATACAGGTTGATTACGTTATTTTTAATAGTTTTGTGTCGTTTGCTGTTTTTATGCAATACATCGAAATTTTTTTATTTGAACACAGTTGGATAGAGCATCAGCTCTTCTATCAAATCATATAATTTGTTTGTTAGTTTCTCTGACTCTAGCCCAAAATTTTGATGAATCTCAAACAAGTGTGAAAAAAACTTTTTTTAGGGTTGTTGTCATGATTTTTAATAGTTTTATTTTTCATATATATAAACATAAAAAACGGACAATTATAAACGATGTTCGATATGAGAGCATCGAGCTTTATATATCATTAAAACTCTCCTTGGCCAGGAAGCTAATACTTTATCGATATACGTCTGACTCATCTTTCGCCACTCACACAAAAGCTTTTTTTAAAGTTCATCAAGGGAATCAATATATGTTTTATTGAGTTGTTGTTTTAAGTATTCCCACATTGAATAATCCGTTGGTGCAGCATCAGGACTGCCAGGCATCCATTCTTCTGGTTTAATATAATTAATTTTGTTTTTGTTCAAAAAGCTAACTGTTTCTTTGGCGGTATGACTTGGTGCCAAATCTTGATGAAAAAAAACACTTTATTTTTCGTGTTTTTGGAAATAAACGTGGAAGATCTTGTGTTAAAAATGGTTTTAAAACCTTGTTGACATAATAGTTTGAATTAACTTTGGTACCAGGTGCAACAAAACGAAGAGTGGTTTTTCCTTGACTTGATACTCCTCCCCATACTATAAAACCTTTTGGTCGAGAAGTGTTTTGTTGAATAATCATTCGATCATAGTCGGGATCAGTTTTTTTTATATAACATACTTTTCTTCTTCCACCGGTTTCATCTAAATAAAACCAAGCTTCATCTGTTGTAATGAACTTCTTATATCGACCACGTGCTAATCGACGATAAAGTTGAAATGATCGTTGTCCACGTTTCATAACATTTAATGATGTTAATTTTTGAACTTTCTGTTTCTTTCGAAGAGTAAATCCAAAATTTTTGATAATGCTCGAGACAGTCGATTGGCTGATGTGAAGATCTTTAGCAATGGCACGTTGAGTTGGTGGATCTTCGACGTTAATCTTCCTAATGACCTTCTTAATAATAGATGGTGTTTGTGATGGCTTTTTTCGAAAAATTTTAATTTTAGATTCAGAATTTCTTTGACGGCCGATCT